GAGCGGCCCGGGCCAGGTTGTCGATGCTGCTGGCGGCCGACAGACAGGACGGCGTGGAGGCGGGGGAAATGACTGAGGCGCTGACCACCGTGGCCTGGGGCTTAAAGCAGCTGGGCAGGGCGTCTGGTGGCATGGCGTCCATCAGCAGGGCGCGGATATCGTCAGCCTGCAGGGAGGGCAGAGAGGAACGAGTTCAAAGAGCTGTACTGGGATCAGTTTGAGGACAGAAGGAGCAGCGGCAGAATCCGTTACCGTGGCGAGGTCCAGGGCAGTCTGGCCCTCTTGGTTCTTCATGGTGGGGTCGGCCCCGTGAGCCAGCAGCAGCGCACAGAGCTGCGTGCGTCCCTTCTGGGCTGCCTCGTGGAGGGGGGTGAAAGCCCATTTGTCTGTAGCATTCACACACGTATTGTATTTGATCAGCAGGGCGGCGATGTCCACGTGCTGTGAGGAAGAGAGGAAACAGAAGGTCAGTGTGAAACAGATTCAAGCCTACAGAACACTTCTAATGGAAATCAAATCTTTCATGATCAGATATCAGTCCTAATATTCAGACAACACAGACCCAATAAACAGTTATTGATATTATTTCCAGGAGCTGAAGGTGAGACCACCAACACCTACAGTTTCCTGTAACCCACAGGTTCTGTATTTAAAGTGTGTGTGTTCCTGTTGCTGGGACTGACCCCGTAGGAAGCAGCGTTGTGAAGAGGGATGAGGCCGCCTTTGTCCTGGGCGTTGACATCAGCCCCGTGCTCCAGCAGGTACTCTGCCACCTCCAGGTTGTTGTAACCAGCTGAGGAGAAAGAACACGAAGCAGAGCAGGAAAATGTGACTTAAAATTAAAATACTATCTTCAAAACATTAATATAACCTTCTATAATCAGGCAGTAGCTCTGTCACAATCTGTTTGAATGAATTAATAAAATAATCTCAGTGCTCAACGGCCCTGAGAGGCTTTGAACAGCAGAAACACGTAGAAGCCGCTCGGTTACCTGCGAGGTGGAGAGGTGTGGAGTTGCGTCCCTGCGTGTCTCTGCAGTTGATGTTCTCCGGGGAGCACAGTTTCTGGACCCGGGCCAGGCAGCCCTTCTTGGCGGCGTCCAGCAGGGCGGCGTCCCCCCTCAGCAGGTCCTGGATGTCCGTGTCTCCGTCTTTGACCATGTCCAGCGGCATGTTGCCGTCACGGTTCTTCTTGGATGGGTCGGCTCCGTGCTGAACGCGAGAGTTTAAGAGTTCCTCATTGCATTGTGATCCATTTCCCTCATCATCACCACAATAACTGACAACAACTGTATAACAACGTCTGTGACACAAATGTTTTGTTCTTTAACATTTCTAACTGTTGTTTCTTTTTGTGTTTCGCTCTTAAATGTTTCCACATTTATTTTATTCATAGATATTAATGCTGATTACTTTCCGTTAATCTAACCTTCAGTGTTGAAAAGTAAAACTCACTTTGAGCAGCAGTTTGCAGATCTCGTATTTGCCTTTGGCTGCGGCCTCGTGTAGTGGGGTGAATTTCCACAGGTCGGCCACGTTGACCGAAGCTCCGTGTCTGACCAGCAGCTCAGCCACTTCATAGTGACCGTAGGAGCATGCGTTGTGGAGGGGAACCAGACCGCTGGAGGGGCAAAGACACAAGTGAACATCTGAGCAGATGTGTTTGTTCTTCTTAAACATAATTACACAGGGTTTCTGCAGGTTACATTTAAGATTTTAGACCTTGCTAGAACCTTTAGATAATACTGTAGAGCTGCACAGATGTCCTGGTCTATACATCTTTCTCTCCAGATTAAAGAAAATATGCTTGTTCACATGATCTTTGTGAAAATTACATCTGTGATGCAAAATTCCCACACTAATACTGAATCACATCGCAATCTGATATTTTTACCACATCATGCAGCCCTAGTCAAATGTAGTCAAATGTAGTCAAATGTAGTTACGTGGCAGTTAAAGCACTGACCCCTTGTCTTTGGCGTGGACATCAGCTCCGTGGTGCAGCAGATACTCAACGACAGCCACTCGGTTGTAACCGGCTGCAAAGTGGAGAGGAGTGGAGTGGCGGCCCTCCAAGTCCCGGCAGTTTACGTTCTGTGGGGTGCAGAGTTGCTGCCACACGCAGAGAGACAACAAGATCATCAGCAACAGCAGAGCGGTGTGACAGCAAGTGAGTGCAAATTCTTCAAGAAACCAAAAACAATGCTTTTATCCTGTTAGTGTGCTTTAAATCTAAATAAAAAAGGACCACTGTAGTTACTGCTGTCACAAAAACCACCAAACAAACAGAGAACTCACCTGCACTGTGTCCAGATCTCCGGCTTTGGCCGCCTCCAGAAATCTGTAGTCCACGTCAGAATTACGTGTGGGAACATTTTCTGGAAAAAGACGGCAACAAATTCAGTACAAAGATTAGGTTCACTACATACATCTCTATGATCGGGGTTTAGATCTGGTGTCACATTAATTCATCTGAGCATTTAGGACTGAAATCCACCTCAGACATTATTAATCTTTATTTAATCAGGAGGTCTCATTGAGATCTGTGAGAACAACAGGCATACACAAAAACACACAAGGAATGAATAAAAACAGGTGATTTCATTCTTTCAACGATGTTTGTAACGTTTACCGTTCAGGATCTGCTGCACGGCCTCGTTACCCATCTGAGCCGCGGTGAAACCCTGCAGAGACACGATGGACGGGTCGGCCCCGTAGCTCAGCAGCAGCTTGCAGGTCTGGATGTGACCGGCCAGCGCCGCTCGATGAAGAGCCGTCTGACCGAGCGTGTCCACGGCGTTCACCTGCAGTCAGAGCAGGTGGCGTTAACACACAGCTCTGAGATCAGACCCGGCACAGCACAACGGAAACGTGGAAACAAAAACTGACCTTTGCTCCGTGTTTCTGCAGCACCTCCAGGATGTCGTTGTGAGCTCTCTCAGCAGCAACATGCAACGGAGTCATGAAGCTTAAAGACACAACAGAGAGAAGTTATGACCCAGATCCATTAAAGTGCTTCAACATTCACTCTCTCTCTTTCTGAGGTTGTTTTTAAAAAAGGTTGTGGACTTACTCTTTGTTCTTCTCGTTGATGTTGGCACCTTTACGCAGCAACAACTCAGTCACCTGCTTCCTCTTGGGGTGAGGGGAAGCCACAGCACAGTGCTAAAACACACCAACATCAGATTAGATCAAATGCTTTGAGTCAACACCTCTTAACACAACTAACTGGCTGTGAATCCTCATTATCACACAGAACGCTGCTGTCGAGATCACGTCTCTACTGCGTGAAAGTTCAAATAAATTTCCAGCTCAAAGCGTCACAGTCGCCCAGACAACCAATCAAATCAGAGATAAATAAATAGGTTAACTGTTTGACTGACCAGAGCCGTCTCGTTGGTCTGAGGATGTTTGAAGCTGATGATCTCCAGAGCCAGCGTCTTCTTCACTTTGGCCATGTCTGCCTCCCGGGCCGCCTGCAGCAGCGAGTGACCTTTGAACTCATCTACACGGAAAAGAAAGACATGTAAATATAAAATGTCTTATTTTTAATGGTCTGATTTGATTTAAATGCAGTCTGAGAGATAACAGGCAACTTATTTAAAAGTGTTCTGCAAAGAAAAA